GATGGCCAACTTTCTGGGTATCGACGACAACAATGAGTAAGACGGCCAGGGCCAGACGGATGACGATCAGATCGTGTCGGAGGCTGACGCGTTGGACTGTCTGGCCGCTATGATACCACCACCGTCGAAGCCACTGACGTGGGGCGAAGCAAGAAAGATTGTGGCCGACAAGCGGACCAATCGAGGCTTCCACACCACCAAGAATCGCCAGAAGGTCGAGGAGTCGATCGCGGCGATCAAGGAGCGGACCAAGTGTGGAATATGCAAGAAGCTGGGACACTGGCATCGAGTGTCCTGACAACCCGAAGAAGTCGGTCAAGCCGACTGGAGGCTGCGTGGCCATGACGGCGATTCACGACGATGAGATATGCAGCTACGTCGCGACGGAGGCGAAGATGGCATCCAGGTCGAACCTAGTCGAGCACATAATCATGACGACCGACATCGAGACCTCAGGCAAGCCTGGACGGGGAGCCGTGGACACAGCCTGCGGCTTCAACATGATGGAACTCGACACCTACGCGAAGCGGGAGAAGCTCTACAAGGAGAAGCACGACATCACCCTGCAGACGACCGCCCACCATAAGAAGTACAGGTTCTGGAACGACCAGGTCTGCACGGCGGCCGAAGGCGTCATCATCCTCATCATGTTGGGGAACTACGTTGGCGTCATCTTCGTGTGCCTGATCAAGGGCGCAGCTCCGCTCCTCCTGTCCAGGACAATCGTGGTGGAGTTGAAGGCTTCGCTGCATGCCTTTCAGTCGGAGCTTGACTTGCCTGAGCAGAACCTTCGGATCCATCTGGCACACGCTGGCGGGGAGCACTTTCTGCTGCAGCCTCCGCCGCGAGGAACTCCCGCGCCTGCTGCGGGATCAACCGAGGGAAGGTCTCGGGATGCTCCCCGCAGTAATCGCGCACTGTCTCCAGGGCATCGTCGCGGGGAACCCCCACGTCCATTTCCAATAGGACCGCGTCGAGCATGTCCAGCTCCGCCCCAGTGGCCGCGGAGGGTTCCCTGGAGGAACGGCCTCGCTGGCTCCGTCGACGGCTTCCTCCCCGCTCCTGGTCCGAGGGCGCGGGGCGCGGCGAGGCGCTCCCGACGCGCTCGCGCGGCCCCCCGGGGGGCGCCCTCCGCGCTCGCGCCCGCGGGCTCTGGGCCCATGCGTTTGGCGCAGGGGTGCCTCCAGTGGCCCAGGCGGGCGGAGCGGATGATGGCCGCCAGCTGCCCCGCGCCAGGGCGGGCCCCCGCGGGCGCCAACCCTTCGTCGATCGCGCCCCACTCGACGTCCGAGACTTCCCGGAAGCGAGCGGGCGCGAGGGAGTTGGCAAATCCTGCCACGCGCTCCCCCCCCTCCCGCGCCAGTTGGACGGGGGCCGAGCAGCGTAGATCCACGGCGGAGACGAGGATTACCACGGCGTCCGAGGGGGGCCCGGCCGGGAGGGGCTCCCCCAGTGCCCCAGCCCCTCGAAAATCACGCGGCGCTGTGCCGGGCTGGCGGAGGGGGGCAGGCCCCAGCGGGTCTCTTCCTCCTCCTCCTCCTCATCCTCCTCCTCCGCCTCCTCCTCCTCCTCCAGGCGCAGGTAGTCCCAGAAGAACCGCCTCTTTCCGTCAGCCGGGCGTCTCCAAGGAGCCAGCGGAGGCGGGGACGGCGGGGGCGGTCCCCGCGCGAGGAGGCCGGCCGACCTCCGAGCGGCTCTTCTCCGGTTGGCGCCCCTTGCGCCGCGCGGGAGTGCGCCGCGCAGACCCACTGGCCCCGCGCCAATTCTTGGCCCATGCGGTGGAAGGAAGGTGGCGCCGTGCAGGGGTGGGCCAGGCGCGTCCGCCGGCACTGCTCCGCATGGATCGGGCAGAAGGGGGCGAAGTGGGTTCCATCGCCTTGCGGCGCCCACCCGTCCGTGTCCGAATGAGGAGCATCCTCTTTTTGAGGAGCATCCTCTTTTAGGGGCCCGATGGGATCCTCCCGCGCGGGAGACCAGCAGGGTCCGCGCAGGCCGAGCGCGCCGAGCTTCCCTGCTGGGGTGAGCCATCCCAGGCGGATCGCTCCGCAGCTCTCGATAGCGGGGCCCTCGCTCTCCGAGTCGCCTTGCCGGCGGCGGCGGGCCTCCGCCCGGGAGAGACGGCGACGGCAGCAGCAGCAGCAACACCCCGCGCAGAGCCCTTTCCACCCGCAGGCCGGCCGTCCTCGGCCAGCGAGGCCCGCCAGCAGGATGATCAGGTGGCCCGCCAGCCCGCAGCAGGTGCAAAGGGGACTTCACATTGGGGCGGGCTCCTCCACGTCGACGCGGGCGCCGGCGTCGAAGCCATGCGCCGCGACGTTGGCCGGAGGCGTGCCGCTCTTCCGCCAGCACAGGAACACCGCCTTCCTGGGGGCGTTCTCCAGGCGCCGGCGCAGGTCGGGGCAGCTGCAGCTCACGACCGCGCCGCAGGGGAACAGCTGGCGCTGGGAGCGGGCCGTTGGGGGGCCCTCGTCTCCCTTCTCCGGGCGCGCCCGCTGTCCGCCGATCACCACAGAGAGGCGGTTGCTCTGCCGCTGATGCAGTCGGCCCCATCCCCCCATGACTTCCTAAAAGGAATCGCTCCGAGGGGGCGGCGTCGGGGCCTCGCCAGCCCAGGTCGCGGAGGGGGAGGAGCCCCTCCGCGGAGGCGCCCCGCAGGCGGAGGACCGAGAGCCCCAGCCAGGCCCCCAGGAGGACGACGCGATCCAAGATCAGGGCCAGCAGAGGGACAAGAAGGAGCGCGAGGAGGAACTGGAGCGAAGGTTCAACGGTTCCCAGAGGGCGGCCCCCTCTTCCCCAGGCAAGGGACTGGCCCAGCAGCCGAAGGCTCTCACCCGGGACACGTTCCCGCCAGCCTTCCAGAGGAGCGTCCTCATGCTGGAGCGGGCGGCCAGGGGCCCTCCGCCGCCGCCCGCAGCGGGCTTGCCCTTCCTGGGGGGCCCAGGCGGCGCCCAGCCTTCCCACCTCGAGCCAGGCCTGCTCTCACGGGTCCTTCTCGAGGTCCTCGCCCGAGTGGTCCGCCCCCACCCCATCGTCCTCGGAGTCCGCCTCCTCCCCTTCGCCTTCCAGGGGTTCGGAGTGATCTTCGGGGCTGCCCTGCGAGGCGAGGGCCGCGCTTGGCGGGTCCGCCTCAGCCAGCGCGTCGCCTTCCTCCCAAGCAGCGCCCAACCACAGCGTGGGTGGGAGTGGAGTGCTGGGGGGGCTCGTCACTGGGGACCTTCCATGTGAAACCTGCGACGGGTCCCGCAGCTGTTCCTGCGACCGCACTGGGCCGCAAGCCGGACGGATCCCCTGAGCTGGGGGCGGTCTCCAGACCCGCCCGCCAAGCTCCTTCCGCCTCGAGGAGGAGCAGCAGTGCCCCCAGGCGCCGTTCCCTGTCGGGTGCCGGGGAACTCATGGGTTCCAGAGGGCAGGGCACCACTTCTCGAAAGGCTGCGGGGCCGGAGGAGAATGGAAGAAGAAGCAGAGAGCGGGCGACAGAAGGGGAGAATATCAAAGTTAATGGCCTTGCACTAACGAGACCATTAATCGCCATCGTCGTCTTCGGTGTCATCATCACCATCCACATCATCATCATCATCATCATCATCATCATCATCATCATCATCATCATCATCATCATCATCATCATCATCATCATCATCATCATCATCATCATCATCATCATCATCATCATCATCATCATCATCATCATCATCATCATCATCATCTAATCATCATCATCATCATCATCATCATCATCATCATCATCATCATCATCATCATATCATTCATCTCATTCATCATCATCATCGTCATCAATCATCCATCATCATCATCATCATCATCATCATCATCATCAGCATTTCATCATCATCATCATCATCTGCATCATCATCTCATCATTAGCATCATCATCATATCATCATCAACATCATCATCATCATCAGAATCATCATCATCATCATCATCAACATCATCATCATCATTAACAACAACATCATCATCATGAGTATCATCATCAGCAGCAGCAGCATCAGCATCAGCGTCATCATCATCATCATCATCATCACCATCATCATCAGCAGCAGCATCATCATTATCAGCATCATCATCATCATCAGCATCATCACCATCATCATCATCATCAGCATCGTCGTCCGCATCATCATCCGCATCATCATCATCCTCATCATCCTCATCCTCATCACCATCATCATCATGGTCATCATCATCATAATCATCAGCAACAACATCCTCATCAGCAAGATCATCATCATCATCACCACCATCGCCATCACCATCATCATCATAATCATCATCAGCAGCATCATCATCACCATGGCCATCACCAGCATCATCATCGTCGTCATCATCATCAACATCATCTTAATCCTCATCCTCCTCCGCATCATCATAATCATCCTGTTACCATCACCATTGACATCACCATCACCGTCATCATCATCAGCATCATCATCGGCAGCAGCAGCACCATCCCCATCACAATCATCATAATAAGTATCAGCATCATCGTCGTCTTCATCCTCCACATCACCATCAACAGCAACATCTTCATCAACATCATCACCAGAATCGTCGCCCTCCTACTCGTCAACAACCAAATCATCACCACCATCACCGTCAGCATCGTCGTATGGAGGGGCTCAGTATTCTAAGAACTCGCGCCTGTGCATGTCTGAGGGGTTGAGTGGCGTACTAGCGCACGGCGAGCGAAGACGGCCGGATAAGCAACCGGACGGGCTGGTGGGCGTGAAGAGCGGGGAGGTGTGCATCGGCACTGCCCTCGGTTCCATCCTACTCCTCGTCTCCACATGTGCTGCACTCCTCCATCTGCCCTGTCATACCCATGCCACAGCTTCGGCCCCTGCACGTAGAGTCTCTCATCAATTGAACAAGACCGTGGCTGCACTCTGGCCACCTTACTGCCACTGCATTACGAGAGCGCGGGCTCTAGATTTGCTGAAAGAGCGAAGCACCCCCCACACCCACCCCTGAAGCACCGAAATGCTCTGCACGCTCACGCGCAAAATCCAACGACGGCTGCGATACATCAACGCCTGACAAGGTAGGGCCATCGAGCTGACATAACAGGCAAAGGCATCGAGATGAATGCGTGCACGCGCGTGCAGACAAGTGAGCAATACGCCAAGCGAGGGGAAAGCAAGGGAAGGAGGACGACGACGACAGTCGCGCCTCCACTACATCACTGGCAAGGCTTCTCGGGGCAGCGGCACTGCGCAGAGATGGCTGGCTGGCGGCAAGGTGTCGCGCCGTTGTGCCTCTGTGTGGGAAGACCAAGAGGAAGGAGTGAGGAAGGAAGGGCGGTGGGGGGAGGAGGGAGGAGGGCGGAAGGACGCAGGGAAGAGTGAGAGAGGAGGGGGCAAGTCTGGCGCGCTCGCGCCACATTTGGCATCCAATCCCGTTCCACCCATCCCTTCCCAGCGGCCGACCTTGGGTGTCAGTGAGCGCTGCTTGAACCCTATGTCAGAACTTGCTGCATAAAGCCGCATGCGGTCGCATGCAGGCGACTGGCCTGTCGGCAGCATTGATACCCTTGCTCACCAACTTGTACAAACCAGTGGCCACCAGCCACAGCAGCCTGAATTGTTGGCAGGATGTGGGAAGTAACGCCTGCATTAAATGCCCAAGTGATTGCACGAATTCACGTGCTTGCGCGCGGACGCTACGCCACTGGAAGTCACGTTTCATCAAGTGTCCTGTATACGACCCTCCTGCAAGCAGGAAACTGCACATCTTCGCGCTGAGTATGCCCCCCGACGCGCTGCGCGAACATCCTGAGGTGGGCCTGGCTGAAATCCCACTGCGAAGCAGACATCGCGTCTCATTTCGCGTCACAGCCCTGAGGCTGCGTGCTAGCAAGCACCAGTGGAGTATTGCGACCACGGTGGTGACATCGCGCTGATCCCTCCATTCTCTCGCAGCGGCGTCGAGTAAGTCCAACACTTGCCCTCCGCTTGGCCTCGGGCAGCTCATGACATGAACAAGGCCGCCAACAGCAAAGCGAGCGAGCACCTGCGTCATCGGGAGCGCAATCTCGCGAGGCGTTTTGCAATTGCGACTGGAGCTGCGCCTGCGGCTCACACGCAGAGGGAAGCCTGACCCCGAGACGACTGACACGATGAGATGGCGACGAAGATGACAAAAAAACGATGATGACGACGATGACGATGTTGAAGACGGAAACAATGACGAAGATCTGAGGCATTGTTCTACATGCAACTCTCTACGCTGGTGTGCACACGTTCCAGAAATATGTTTAGGACGACTCTGGGCCCATTTTGGGCCCAGGAAATGCAACCATACCAGACCAGGCCCAGATTCGGATACGTTCGAAGGGACTCGGGCCAAACACAGCGATGCTGGCGATTGGGCCGTCTAGAAGCCTTCCTGGGCCCCCCTCGGGCCCATCTTGGTCCTTTATGGGGCCATCTCGAAGCCCTCTGCCTGGCGTTTCTTTCACATTGAACCGTCTTCTGGCCGCCCTCGGACATCTTGGGCCGTGCTCTGGCCAACCTGCGGGATATTTCTGGCCTTCTGCTGGAGGCAGCAGGGATCCAGAGAGCCAGCGCTCCGATCACTCAGTCGTGAACAGGGATGACGGGATGGCGATGAGACCATGACCGAATCGACCAACCACACGGCATCTCTGAGTCCAATCGATAGCATGGAGGAGAATTGAGCCCAGGAAAGGGTTCAAAACAAACCTGCAGAACCATAAGAAGCGCGCCTGCGGAATCGAAACTGACATTTGAGGCGCGCATACGAGTCCAGTCCTGAAAACTGAGAACTGAGAACTGAGAACTGGAATTGGCAGGCGGTGCGCGTGAAGCGTCTTGAGCAAGAGTGATGATGGTTGCTGTGCTTTTGAAGCGGCGATCGACACTGTACCCCGCCGCATCAGCAGAGCAAGACACAGGGCGCGGCGAGCGGGTGGACGGTGCCCAGACCAGGCCCGCGACCGCCCAGCCTGATCAGCCGTCCCCAGCCTCTGCACGCTGGTCGGCGCCGGCCGCTGTGGGCAGCGCCAGCGCCTGCACGTCCGCCGGTGGCTCGCGGGCGGGCGACGACGGGCCATCCCTCCTCACGAGCAGGCCCAGGTCCACGTAGGCCTCCGTGGGCAGCCCAGGGTCCCCCTCGGCACGCAGAGGCTCCTTGCCCTCCTTGGCGCCGCGCCGCCGCCGCGGCCTCGGCGGATACCCCTGCGGAGGCGGCCGGTAGCCTCCCGGCCCCTTCTGCTTGACCGCCAGGCCCCCCCGACGGTCCTTCTTCCTGCCCGCGGGCCGCGCCGGCTCGTCCTCCCCCTCTCTGCCCGCCTCCTCGCCGGCGCCAGCGACTCCGGTGAGCGAGGCCAGGGACGACGAGGCCGACAGCGTCCCGGCCCAGAGCGACCGCGGCGCCGGCGGGGGCGGGAGCTGCGGAGGGGCGCCCCAGAACTGGACGCCCGGCGGCGGCAGGGTGCCCACGGAGTAGCCCAGCGGTAGCCGCAAGAAGGCCGCGCCCCCGTGCGCGGCGGGCATGGTCGGCAGCATGCCGTGCCCGACGCCAGTGTAGCTTGCGGCTGGGGCGCCCCCAGGGGCGGTTGCCGCGCCATAAGAAGCTGAGAACGAGCCAGGCCACTCTGGAGCTGCACCTGAAGGGGGCATCCGCCCCCTCCACCACCACCACTACCACCATCATCATCCTCTCCCACCACCACCACTACCACCACCACCACCATCATCATTAGCATCATCATCATCATCATCATCATCATCATCATCATCAGCAGCAGCAGCAGCAGCATCATCATCATCAGCAGCAGCAGCATCATCATCAGCATCATCATCAGTAGCATCATCGGCATCATCAGCATCATCAGCATCAGCATCAGCATCAGCATCAGCATCAGCAGCATCATGCTCATCATGACAGCAGCAGCACCACCACCACCGCCATCCTCATCATCATAATAATAATCAGAATCATCCGCATCATCCTTATCATCATCATCATCATCATCATCATCATCATCATCATCATCATCGTCATCATCATCATCATCATCATCATCATCATCATCATCATCATCATCATCATCATCATCATCATCATCATCATCATCATCCCCATCGTCATCAGCATCAGCGTCACCATCATCTTCATTATCAGCATCTCATCACCATCTCATACCAGCATCATCACCACCATCACCTTCGTTGTTATCTTCGTCATCATCATCATCACCATCGTCATCAGCAACATCATCTTCAGCATCAGCTCAACAGCAGCATCATCATTATCCTCCTTCTCATCCTCCTCCTGATGATCATCAGCATCATCATCAGCATCATCATCGTGGACATCATCATCAGCATCATCATCACTAGCATCATCATCTTCATCATCACCATCCTCAGCAACATCATCATCAACAACAATGGCATTATCAGCATCATCATCATCATCATCATCATCATCATCATCATCATCATCATCATCATCATCATCATATGCATCATCATCATTTTCAGCATCAGCTCAGCAGCCTGCTCCTCCTCCTCCTCCTCCTCATCATCATCATCGTCGTCAGCATCATCATCATAATCATGGCCATCACCATCACCACGTCAGCAGCAGCATCCTTCTCATCCTTCTACTCCTCCTCATCATCATCCACTTAGCAGCAGCAGCATCCGTCTCCTCCCACGCAGTATCATCATCATCCTCATCATCGACCGTCATCATCAGCTGAGCAGCAGCAACCTTCTCCTCCTGCCCCTCATCATCATCATCAACATCATCGCATCATCATCATCATCATCATCAACCTCAGCATCAGCATCAGCATCATCATCGTCATCATCAACACAATCCTCAGGCTCATCATCATCATCATCATCATCATCATCGTCATCATCAACAGCATCATTATCATCATCACCATCAGCATCATCATCATCGTCATCCTCATCCTCAGAGATCGCTGTCAGCATCATCACAATCAGCATCATCATTATCAACAGCGTCATCGTCATCATCATCAGAATCATCAGCATCCTCATCGTCATCGTCATCGTCACCATCATCATCAAAATTGCTGCCACGGCATCAGCATCATCAACATGTTCATCGTCATCATCATCATGGGCATCAGCATCACCTTCATCATCTCAGCAACAGCAGCATCCGTCTCCTCATCATCGTCCTCCTCCTCCTACGCATCATCAGCATCATCATTGTGTTCATCACTAGCTTAGCAGCAGCAGCATCCTCCTCGTCCTTCTCCTCATTACCCTCGTCATCATCACCATCATCATCACCATCAGCATCATCGTTGTCGTCATCATCATCATCATCATCATCATCATCATCATCATCATCATCATCATCATCATCATCGTCATCAACATCGTCATCATCATCATTATCAGCAGCATCATCATCGTCGTCGTGATCGGCATCACCATCACCATTAAATTCGCCGGCCCAACGGGCCAGAGGCGTGCTAAGATCTCCGGTAACTGCTTAACAATTCTCTAGTTCGCGCGCGCGGGGCGGCCCCTGGGGGTCCCCGGACGAAAAGTACCCCGACCGACCCCCGGGCGATCCCCGGGAGACTCCCCCAGAGCGCTCCAGGAGCGCTCCATGAGCGCACCAACAGGGCTCCGAGACGTCCCCGAGAGCCCCAAGAAAGGCCAAGAGGCCCCCAAGAGGCCCCCAAGATGGTACACGAGGGGTCCGACATGCCACAAGATCGCTCCAAGACGCCCAAGATAGCCCCCAGACGCCCCAAGAGGCCTCCAAGAGCACTCCCAAGAGGGCCCCCGGAGGCAAAATTCATTGTTTTTCCTGAGGTTTTTGAGAGATTTTGGAGCTTCCACCTTTTCGGCTTCCCGACGCCCCAAGACGGCCCACGAGGCCCCCAAGCTCGCCCCAAGAGGGCCCAAGAGGCCCCCAAGAGGGCCCCAAGATGGCCCAAGAGGGCTCGAAGACGGCCCAAGAAGCCTCCAAGACGGTCCAAGAGGGCCCCAAGAACGCCCCCAAAGGGGCCCCAGAGAGGGAACACGAAACAACATTTCGAGCCCTCGGCCCTAAGAAGCCCCTACGAGGCCCCAAGAGGCCCCTAAGAGGCCCCAAGAGGCCCCCACGAGGCCCTCAGGAGGCCCCCAAGAGTCCCCCAAGCGGCCCCAGGAGGCCCCCCAAATGCCCCCCCGAGCGCCCCAGGAGTCCCCCAAGCGGCCCCAGGAACCCCCAAAGCGCCGCATTGACACCAGGCCCTCGGGCAAACGGCAGACATGAGACTGTATGGGCCGGCGGAATGAGCGAAGCGATTAATAACATGACTTTCACCATCCTCATCGTGAGCAACAGCGGCTACGTTACAATAACCATCGTCGTCATCATCGTCAGCATCAGCATCCTCATCAGCAGCAGCAACATCATCAACATCAGCATCGTCGTCGTCATCATCATCAGCAGCATCATCACCACAACCAGTATCACCATCATCAGCATACACACCATCATCATCAGAAGCAGCAGTAGAACCAGCAGAATCATCATAGGTGGAGTCATCCTTGTCGTCAACATTATCAGCAGCAGTATCATCAGCACCACCGTTTGCCCCCACCAGCATCATCAGCATCATAATCATCATCAGCAGCATCATCATCAGAAGCAGAATCATCCTCCTCATCAGCGTCATTATTATTAGCATCACCATCATCACTAAACCACGATATCGGTATCATATTCATTGTCAACGTCATCAGTATATCATTCTCAGAATCACCATCATCATCATCATCGTCAGAAGCAGCAGTAAACTCAGCAGGATCATCATTGTTGGAGTCACACTTGTCGTCATCATCATCAGCAGTAGCAGTATCATCACCACCAACGCTTCCCACCACCAGCATCATCAGCATCAGAAGTATCAACAGCATCATCAGCAGCAGCATCAGCATTAGCTTCGTCATCGTCATCGTCATCACAATAAGCATCATCGTCGCCACCAGCATCAGCATCAGCATCATCATCATCATCATCATCAGCATCAGCATCAGCATCAGCATCAGCATCAGCATCATCATCCTAATCAAACCACCAAATTCACCACCGCCACCACCACCACCACCATCATCATCATCATCATCATCAGCATCACCATCGTCATTAACATCACAATAACCACCACCAAAATCCCCACCACCATCATTAGCATCATCATCAGCATCGGCATCATCATCATCATCATCATCATCATCATCATCATCATCGTCATCGTCATCATCATCATAACCATCATCGTCAGCATCAGCATCATCATCATGTACCTGTAGTTCCGACTACTCCACTCGCACATACGCCTTTTTCTACGCCCGAATCCGCCACCTGCCTCCTCCTCCTCCTCCGTCTCTTCCCCCTCGTCATCCCTCCTGCTCGCGAGCACCCGCGTCCCCAGTCTCCCCATCATCGCCTTCCTCTTCCTTCCTCTTCCCCATGGCCCTCCTCCTCGCGACCACCCGATCCCCCCCCCTTCCCTCGTCCCCTCCCGCCCCCTCTTCATGTACACGTCGTTGATTTCTATTCGTGCTCATTTCTATTTGTGCTCGTTTCTAATTGTGCCTGGCCCCCTGGTGGCCAGGAAGAGGCCCAGGATAGCACAATTAGAAGTGAAAGGATCTTGGCCCCCCAAAAAATCAAGGAACTCGAAGAATTAGAAATTAGCAATGTGTACACCTCCTGCTCCTGATCCTCTGCCCCTCCACCGGGGCGGCCTGAGCTCGACGAGGCGCCGCCCCCCGTGGCGGTCTGGCCCACCGGCGGCACCGGCAGCACGGCCACCTGGGGCCACAGGCCCGGGGCGGGGGCCACCGCCACCGGGCCCGGCGGGAAGCACGCGAAGTGCTCGCCGGCGGAGCGGTCGGGGGCGTCGAAGGGGCCGCCCTGGCACATCATGCCCTCCGGGATCTTGACCGGCTCCATCAGCTTCTCCGGCGAGCTTGCGGCCGACGGCGGCACGGGCGCCCGCGGATTCATGAGTCGAGGGGGGAGGGGACCGGGCGGGAGCGGCGGGGGGGAGGGGGAGCGATGCTGCAGCCTCTATTGAGCCAAGATCGCTTGGAGCTTCGACTGGCCGCCTTCGGGAAAGCTCAACCGGAGGCGCAAATCTCTGGCGATTCCACTGGATCCGTCTAAAATTACACGTGCGTGCAGCCGTGAGGAATCTGGAGAGGGAGGTGATTCGGGGGAGGGTATGGCTCGAGCTGCCTTGGCGACGGGAGGGTGGGTCTGGCTTTGATGTCCGCAGGTGTCCAGCGAGATGGGGGTCTGTTTTGCTACGCCCAGGAGGAACCCGGGGGGGGGGCATCTGGCTGTTCCATTAGTTGTCTGCCTCAACATGTCGCCACAACAGGAGTGGCGAAGAGGGTCCAAGCTTGATTGACGCCATGTCCGCCTTCGGAGGGACGAGGGGATCTCCTGGCTTCAAAAAAGTTCTGGGGGATGTCTGTTTTGTTCGTCGCGGTGGCCGTCCAGGATGGTCTGGGTCGCCTTGTCGCGACACGGCCAGGGTGGATAGGTTTTTTGATGTCGATGTCCCATGGCGTGGAGGGGTCTGAAGTGGCTTGGTTTCTTATGAAAGTTAGAGTGGGCGCCTTTTGCTAGTGATCGACCTTGCAAGCGCAGCAAAATCAATTTGCTGCGACGCTGCCGCCAGCAATGCACGAGTCTTCTCGCGTACGTTACTTGCTGCGCCACTGCTGCGTGCCCCCATTGGCATCGCCATCGCGTTGCCGAAGTCGACACCATGAGTTCACCAGAGGCCCTGACAACAATAATGAACTTCGCATTTCCAATATACACGCTTGTATTCGAGTCAGCGCACACCTAGGAGACGCGGCTGGGGGTCCAGTTCAAAACGGGGACCACGAGCACAGTCAAGAATGGTGGCGTCAGCAGGGGCTGAAGACTTGCTGCGTGAGCAATCGTAGATAACTTCCCTCCCACGGCCAGTGGACTGGCCGAACAACGACAACGAACTCCGATGATCGATACTTCCACAAACTCGGGGGGAGGGCGATCCCGTCCTGACCAGTCCTACAAGACGCATCCCGCAGCATCCCTCCCCTGATGTCGCCCCGGGTGCCCAGCACGGACGCCCTGGGGAACGTGGCCGCAAAGTGGCAGGCCCAGCGACCAGTTCCACATCCTCGGGCAAGGGGTCAAAACTGCAAGAGAGAGAGAGAGGAAAAAAAAGAGGACAACGAAAAAAGCATATGCGTGTGTGTGTGTGTGTTCACCCGCTGCCTCGCTTGCCTCGCGGCTCTCTTGCGCTCTCATTCACCTTGTGGCTCAGCTCGCCGTCTCCTGTCCCACTGCCGGCGGCTGCTCTCCGCCCTTCCTGTGCCGCCTGTCCGCCTTCCCCCTGCCGTTCCCTTCCCCGTCGCCCGTCCGTCCGCCGCTCCCCGCTGCCACCGTCTCGTGGTCCGCCGTCCTCCGCAGGGCTAGCGCCTGCATTTGCTGTGACCACCACGTTCCAGAGCGCACGGTCGCCGAGGAAAAAGTGTGTATGTGCGTGCGTGCGTGTATGTGCTCAGCCGCATGCACAACGAAACTGGCCACCCCCCTCATGCGTCAAGAAAAGAGTACGGACGATGCTGGTAGTACTGGCACTGATCTCGATCCGATGATGTTCGTGGGGGGTGGCGATGGCGAATCCAAATTGAGGCGAAGGCGGATGTGAAGGAGATGGAGATACCGAGGTGAAAGCGGGGGTCGGGCACCCTTCTCAAACGCGACATCGTGTTCAGTCTACTCACCCTTGGCCTCCCAATACCCCAGGACCAAGTTGCAGTATCGTCTACGCCACTGAGGCCTGGCGACATCGAATAAGAAAAGAGGCATGCAACGCACGCGGAACCCCAAGGAGCCCTCGAGTAACAAAAGGAAATGTCAAGGGAACCTTCCACGAATTCTCTGAGCCGGCGCCGTACTGGCCCAGCTGAAGCGGAGGCGCCAAGGCCTGCGATCACAGAAACCACAGGGTCTCACGCGCGCAGAAGAAGCATATACTTGGAGGAAGTGGATGGTGCTGAGAAGCGATAGGAGAGACGAAGAAAGCGGGAGGAACATGAACGAGAGCAAAGAGATTTCCCGTATCTAGTGCGAGTTGAAAAGCAAAAACCCGGAGGGGAACTTCAACGTTAACGGCCCGACTGATATGGCACCGTGCTAGAGAAGGCTGTATCCCATCGCCCTCCTCCTCATCATCATGTTCCTCTTCCTCCTCCTCTTATTATTATTGTTAGTACTAGTATTCACCTTATTAGTAATATGATTAGTATCCTGCTTAATAGTGTGTGTTATTCTTCTTAGTACTTGTATTATGTGTCTTATTAATCGTATGCTTACAGATGGACGTTGTCGTCAGGTCGTTTTTCAGATCGCATTCGCGTCATGTTTGGAGTCGCCGTTGATGTGCCTGGGTCTGTCTTCTGGCCTTGGGGCCATCTCGGCATCGCCCGCTGCTCATCAGACGGGTCATCGCATAGGCCACCTGAGACTCTCAAGATGCCCTGTCGGGATCATGTGGGGCCATGGGGTCATCTCAGTTTCGCTTAGAGGTCATCGTCGGTGGCCTGGGGCCCGAGTGATACCACGTTGGGGCTATGAGGTCACGCGGTTATTGCGGGCACTTGTGCGTACTTCCCCGTGAGACCTTCCGTGGAAACTCTTGCTGGAGCCAAGCAGTGCTCCTACCCTCGCAGCAGGCGACACTGATGCGTGCTTGGACCCCCTGCTCTCCCGCCTCCCTGACGGTGCCCTGCACCCCTCTCTCCTCACCTCCCGCTTGATGAACACCCGATCGTCCAAAAGTGAGTCGGGCCGCGGCGGCCGCTCAAAATCAGAGCCAACCGCTCGCTTTTGGGGGGATGTGACGCGGAGGGCGGGCCACGTGATGAGGAGAGGAAGATGGGGGGAGGGAGAGAGATGGGGGGAGGGAGAGAGGGCGAGACAAGCCAGGTGCGCTCGCGCCACCTATGACAGCCGAACCCTCCCTCGCATAAATGTTTCCCTATCCGCGGGCGAGTGTCCCAGTCGGCCTAGAATTCGGGAAAAGACCCAATCGTGTTTTGCGAAATCGGAAATGGACAGCTGCCTACATGGGAGGAGGAGGAGGAGGAGGAGGAGGAGGTGGAGGTGGCAGGTGATCAGGAGGAGGAGCAGGAGGAGAAGGAGGAGGAGGAGGGACGAGGACGAACATCAGCAGCAAGAACTGGAGTTGAAGGAGCCGGAGAAACAGGAGGACCAGGGCAAGGCGGAGGAAAGGGAATGAGCGGGCATCAACGATGGAAAAGGACTCGGGTCTAGAAAAGTGTTGGAGGCCTGGAAATGGGCACCAACACCAATACAGGGGGCTGCCTCCACAGGGGGGAGGTGATCCTAGGTTTCGGTGTTGGTGGTAATATTTCGGTCACCTTGGAAGCCATAAAATTACCACCATCACCGAGATCGGGATCTTCTTCCCTCGGCGGAGGAACACCGCCGAAATTGGTGTTGGTGTCAACCTCTAGGCCTGCGAAAGTGACCCGCGCTGGCGCGAGAGCGTCATTCTGAACGACGGAAGCACAGTGCCGATCCAAAAACGTGGCCAACGCTGCAGCGGGAGCACCATTCGGAAGAACCGAAAAGGACCGCATGGTAACAACAGAATAACATAAGACATCCGCCGACCAGTCGGCGTGTGTGAGACGCTACGCTGTCGTCGTCTTCGCCGTCGTCATCACCAGTTCCAAAGAAAACTGATTTGAACAGAAACGAGAAACGTCGTAGTTTAGCCGATTCCCGCCCCTTTTCCCCTCCCTGACGGGGAGGGTGGGGGGGGGCACAGGGGGAAGGGGCGAGGGCCCCCCAAGACCGCAAGCCGTATCGCTCACTCCCGCCCGCCCTCCCAACACATAAATAATGCCCGAGTCTCAGCACATCGCCGAGGAGCACCACGCATGCCGGTGTGCGCCACGGGCTCCAGGTGCACCCCAGGCACCCTGGAGGCCCAAGCAGGCGAGGCGCAGCAAGGGAGGCACGCGCGCGGCACGAGCGCCAAAGTGCGGCACGTGCTCCAGCCGCGCCAGGTGCGCCGCGTGCTCGGGGCGCGCAGTGCGTGCGAAGTGCGCCATTGCACAGCCGTCACCAGGTGAATTCTGTACTTAGCTGCCCCGATACGTAACACGCAACACGTGGCGTATTGATACGGAGCTCAACACGTGGACTGAAAACGTAGGTCCGACGCGATACGTTCGCCAAAACGTGGGCCAATACGTGGAGCCAACACGCAACGTATTGACACGGACGTCTTAAACACGGGACGTGTTGCGTTTCAAAACGGGCGTATCGAGGCAACTAAGATTCTGTATTGTTTTTTGGCATGGATGGTTGGCCTGCGCGCATCAAGCAACATGCTTGCATCCCCGCCGTCCCTGTCAAAAACCATGCAGGGTGGTAGCGGTGCGCCCGCACATGCTCGAGATTTGGAGGCAGAGGGCATTCTGTGCTGTTTTCTGACAGGGATGGTGGGGGCGGGTGACATGCCCCGGGTTGGCCCAAAGTCGGGTGAGGGAGGAGGTGTTTATTGATTAGGAGCAATGACACAGCGGGGGGCAGGGGGGGGGGTACGGGGGGGAGCCTGGGTCAGATTACCCCCCCCTTCCTGGGGTCCCGGCGGCCCCCTGTGCACAAGGAGGACACGGGGGGATCCCCCCTGGGGGGGGGGAGGTCCTGCGGGGGGTTCCCCCGGGAGGTCCCGCCTGTAGCAGAGGAGGGTGGTCCTGGGTCAGAATACCGTCTACCCTGGGTCCAGGTGGGTCCCCGGGTGGGCGCCAGCGGGGGTCCCCGGGAAGGTTCCGCCTTCAGGATCGGCGGCACAGGCCATAAGACCTCAACGATAACCATGTTTGAACAATACGCGGGGAGGGCCAGCCATCTTCCTGACGGTGTCAGGGGAGAGAGGAGAGTATCATTTGGAATGTTCAACTGTGCAGGGCACAACAACAATACACCCTGAGACCACCCCATCCCAAACCACATAGGAGCACTGGAAGCGGGCATCGCCTGTCCCCTGCAGGCGGTGGTCCAAGTACCCCAAGTCACACCATTGCCGCTGCAGACGTGCATCGCCACTTTGCGGAGAAGATCACGCCACCTCCAGCAATGAAGCCACCATAGGGGGACCTCCGCCTTGACCAACCTGCTGTCGTGAGTCATTGCTGGCTCGCCCTGGCTGTTGGGCTTGATGCTCCTGGAGCCTCGGCCTGAACGACGAGCGGTGGTGGCAAAGTCCGTCTGCCCCTCATCCCACTACCTCCGCCTCCCCCTCCCCGTCTCCCGCCCACCCACCCACCCCCGACCTCCTCCTCTTCCTCATCCTCGTCCTCCTCCTCCTCCCTCCTCCTCATCCTCCTCCTCCTCCTCCTCCTCCCTCCTCCTCCTCCTCCTCCTCACTCTCCTCCCCTCTCCCCTCCTCCTCCAACTCCTCCTCCTTCCTCCTCCTCCTCCTCCTCCTCCCCTCCTCCTCCTCCTCCTCCTCCTCCTCGACGTTCGCCCAACGACTTCCCCCGGCCTCTCCACACAACCACACAAGGCAGGGCAAAAGGCTACTCCGCGAAGCACGGCACGGCTGCGGCAGGAGACAAGTGAACGAAGGAATCTCCTGCCACGAGCACCGCGCCGCCAGCGCAGCCGACCTCGCAGCGAATGTAGCAGTCCCAGGGCCCATCCCGCAGCCCGGCAAGCAT